AAGGGCTGGTCTCCACCTTGGATTCACAAAACAGGGCTAAACTGAGGATATGTAGAAAATTCAGGGGAGACATGTTTTGTATTGTGATCAATGTAGACTTTTTAAAGCTCCTTTGGGGAGTGGGGTCTTTGGAGTTTTTCACATCTTGTCCATTGACCTGCTGCAACTGTGTGAGGGGCTCCTGGTTTACACAGAATCTGGTACAGAATTTGTAAGTAAACAAGCACCTCAGCAATGGGAGGTCACAACCACAAAATATTCAGAGCCCTGACCACAGCTACACCTGTCTGAAACCTGCTTCAGGATCAGCTGCACCACCAGAACAGTTCCATTTTTTATCCTGTCCCCACAGAGACAGCTGTAGTCTATTCTGCCTGGATCACCATGCAGGCATCAGCCCAGCATGACTGGGTACCTTTTCACCAGCCCCTGGAAGTTTTTGAGACATTTGGGGTGTCCTGTGCAGACTGGGGTCAGGCTCACAACAGGACCTAATATTTCTTCCATCTCAGGGAAAGAGAAATGAGTCATCCAGGGTCAGTACCTCCCCTTGAAGAAATCTTGGTTGGTACCCAGTTAGAAGTTGCTCCATGTTTCTAGTATTTATGTGAAGAACAAGGAGATGGTCTGAAGACTCACACTGATAGATACACCACTTGGTTCCTTTTCAAGTAGTTTTTAGAAAGTCAGATAAGGCAGCCATGATTCTTACCATCCAGGAACTTTCAGTCAAGAGCAAACAGGTAAATATTTGAATTCAGCATCACATGGTCAATAAAAAGAAGGGAAGTGCCCAGGGAACTTGGGCTCCATTTGGGCCACTTTCCTCTCATTGTTGTGAGTTCTGATGGCACACAAGATGGGATATTAATGGACAGAAGAGTTGTTGTTGTTACCCCTACTACTATTAATTTAGTAAGAATAAATATTTAGCTTCCAATATAATTCCAAAAAACCCTGAGGATTTTAGGTACATTTCTAGTTATTGTATGTTATAAAATAGACAAGGAAATGGCTAATATACATTAAATTTACACAAACTCTTTGAATCAAGTTTCTCTTGTGCAGACAGGGAAAACAGAACTAAATGTACCCTAGTGGCATAGGGATAAGAAACCCAGGACCTGCTCCCTACTCCAATCCTGCTTAGATTCACCCTCATCTGAGCCTCATCCAGGTCTGGCTTCACCCTGGACTCTCCCATGACAGAGTTTTTAGAAGAGGTCAGAGTTCTGAGTGGCTGCTCCTGCTTTCTCCAGAGCTGGTGCTCATGATTTTCTGAAACCCAGAAGCAGATAAATGAGAGCAAACAACTATATTTGGGTGCCATAATTTTCTTTTTCTTTGAAACCAATCCTTCTAGAGACATCTCACCTAGCAACCTCTTCTCCATTCTTGAAGAGCCAGCTTTGCTCCACAAATTACTAGAAAGTGAATATAAACACAACATTGAAATTTTTCTCTGAAATACAGTTCATTCTTTCTGTATTTCTCTCATCTGCCTATCTTTAGCTTTTATTCTATACCTTTTTTGTTAGTTGGAGTCTACTCTGTCATCCAGGCTGGAGTGCGGTGGCCACACTCCCGGCTACCACAGCCTCAATCTGCTGGGCTCAAGGGACCCTTCTGCCTCAGCCTTCTAAGTAGCTGGAATTACAGGTGTGTGCTACTACACCCAGATAAATTTTTCTATTGTAGAGACGAGGTCTCGCCATGTTGCCTAGACTGGTCTCAGTGGGCTCAGGAAATCCTCTTGCCTCTGCCTCCCACAGTGCTGGAATTACAGGCATGAGCCACCACACCCAGCCTATTCTATACATTTTTAAACCAAATCAATGATAAAGAGAAGAAAAATATATAAATATATAAATGCTGGACCTTTCATCTAATTCTGTGGTAATTATAGGATACTTAGTGCTTCCCTCCTAGTGTGTTATGAGGATTAACTCACATAATGTGAGGTTCACAGCACAGTGCTCTGTAACATACTTGAGAGCACATAGTACATGGTCAGTAAACCTTACATTATGCATGTGCACGTGTTTTTTTCCAGATGCAGACTTAGATGTTACTCCATCTCCAGGTTTTGAAAACTTTAAAGGGCCAGCAGAGAATGTGATCCTTCAGGACAGTGATTGGTGGTTTTCACTGCCAACCAGAAATGTTTGTGTTGTGATGAGAATGGTGGGTGTGAGGGCCTCTGTGTACTTGTGCCTGCTTTCGCTAGCTGAGTACTACTGACAATGGGCTTAGGAGGACCAGTGTCAGCACTGACAGGGGGCTTGCTAAGAGAAGCTCATTTGTGGCCCCCTTCTAAACCTGCAGAATCACATGACCTAGACAGAGCCTAGAATACCAATTGATTTATCTGCAGATTGAACTCAAGAGGCAATGCTTGACTAAGTGGCTCTCAGCTTTCTATTAGGCTTTCTATTAGGATCACATGGGCAGTTAGAAGAACTCCCATTACCTGTGCCCTCCACACAGAGTCTATTTGGGTGGGAGCAACTATATTTTATTTTTTTATTTTTTTATTTGCTTAGGCTGTATGCCATCTTTAATTTTTTTTTAACTGTGTTTTCATTAAGTGTCCCACATGATGCTAAGGTAAGGACAGGGTTCCAGCATGAGCCATCCCAGGTACATTTATGAGAGTTGAGCTCAACTTTTGTTCCAAAGGGAAGTCACAGGGCCTGCTCTGCTGGGGCTTTGTGGGGACTGGTCATTGCGATTCATATTTTCAGTGCTGTAGCAGAAATTGCTGGAGTCTGTGGCATGGAAGGACACCTGAAGGCAGGAGAAGTTTATATTTTGATATTTATGTAGGATCTTATTTTTCCTGAATCTGTCATGTGACAAGACAGGGAGTGTGGCCTTTTCTGCACTTCAGAGTTCTTCTGCCTGTGGGTGTGGTGGTGGCAGGTGAAAGAGTTGTGCTGATGCCTTAAAAGCTTATTCTCAAATGCAGTTGTGATTTGTTCAGATAATCTCACCTGAGGAGGAATCTCAGAGAATGAGAAGGAAGAGGAAGATGACTGGTTCTCAGGTGACTCTGTCCCAGGTCAGGGGCTGTGTCCTCTTTTCCTCTTGAAATGTCATGTGTTTAGAACTCACACATCTTTGCTTCTCCACTTTTGATGTTTCTTCCTAATGTGTTTGTTTCAATTACCTTTTTTTTTTATGTTGGTAGTCAAGTATCTGTAAAACCCTACTTTTCTATATGCCAGCGCTATCTCCATTCTCTCCATCCAAGCTTCTTACATGCTATGACTAAATCTTACCACTAGTTTATCAGCTATAATATTTAGAATGCTCTCTTGTGACAGATCCACATGGGAAGGTTTGAACACCCAAGATTCCTGTTGGGGATGAGATCAAGGTCCTCGAATATTAGTAAAGAGGGGGAACATGTACTGTTTAGTGTCCATCTGGTTGCTCCACCAGCTCAATGCAGAACAGAATTAAGAAAATACACATCTCATTCACCATGATGACACTATTGCCCAGAATGACTTTAAAAAGCTATATTTATAAAAAAAAAAAAAAGAATATCATAAGTCTAATTCTCTAGGATGCTAAACAAAGAGTGAGCACATCATTAGAGATTAACGATTGCAAAACCTGGGGAATTTCTGATGCTTGAACTTTGCATAAGACTACTGTTTCTTCATAATTAGATTCAGATTATAATTTACTTCTTATTGACCAATATCACAATAGTGATGTTGTGTCCTCTGTGTGTGGCACTTGATACCAGTTTTTTCTATTAGAGTTGATGTCGATTTAATTCACGTGTTTAAGGTGCTCTCTGACAGACTTTTCCATTATGGAGTTATTATTTTTTTATTTTTAAAATTTTCAAGCAGTTCATTTAGAAAGTAAATCAGAGAGAGAGAGAGAGAGAGAGAGAGAATCTATTCACCTCCCCAAGAGAGGGGAGGGGGCCAAAGCTAAGAAAACATGGCAGCAGTAGAGCCACATGGAGACAGCAGAGTTTAGCAAAGTAATGGCTATGAAGTTATTTTTCTCTTTATTACTAAAAATACCTTGGGGAGGTTTACCTACTGATGTGTGTAAATCATCACATTTAACCTGGAAGCTCCCCTTCTTAGATTCTCTTGCATGTAGCCTGCTTTAGGAAATGAAGGCTCTTATCTATGCTGACTTGTCAGGTGTACGGAAATAAAACCCAGGCATTGTCACTTACTGGATGTTTGAAAAATATTCTCCTTGGTCTGGAAGCACTGGCATCACTAGATAGTTCATTAGAAATTCAGAGAGTCAGGCTTCACCCTAGAACTCCTGTATCAGAATCTGCATTTTAACAAGGTCTCTACTTCTTTGTGGTACACATTAAAATGTGAGAGGTATCCTTTAGTTCTCCATGACTTCTCCATATGTGAAATATTCACAACTTATCCTGCATGAGGTAAATTTGGCAGTCAGAAATCTCCGTGGCTCAGCCTGTAATCCCAGCACTTTGGGAGGCCGAGGCGAGTGGATTGCCTGAGCCTGTGGGTTCGAGACCCGCCCGGGCAACTTGGTGAAACCTCATCTCTACAATAAATAAAAAACTAGCTGGGTATAGTAGCGTGCGCCTGTAGTTCCAGCTACTCGGAAGGCTGAGGTGGAAGGATCGCCGGAGCCCAGCAGGTCGAGGCTGCGGTGGCTGGGAGCTTGCCACTGCACTCCAGTCTGAGAAACAGTGAGACTCCAACTCAAATAAATAAATAAATTTATATACCTGTGTTGATGCTGTCAATTTTATACTGTAGCATCCATAGATGTATGGAATCTTCACTGGTTTTCTGGATATAATGCCATCCTTTTTTCTCAGAGTTAGAGATACATTAGGAAATATTTCTGTGTAAAAAAGTATCTTTTGAGTAATTCCGTCACTCATATAACTAGTTTTCTGTACTCTTTCTTTTCACCTGTATTCAAATTAAGAATTCTGCCCATGGCCACTTGATAAATGTTTGTTTGTTTCTTTCTTTCAGGGGCTGTTGACATTCAGGGATGTGGCCATAGAATTCTCTATGGAGGAGTGGGAATGCCTGGACACTACTCAGCAGAATTTGTATAGGGATGTGATGTTAGAGACCTACAGAAACCTGGTCTCTCTGGGTGAGGATACCTTCACTACACAATTTTTATTTCACAGTATATATTTCATTTCCTTTTCTTGTAGAATCTTTTCTTGGGAGTTTCTCCTTTGGATGAATGAGTTTGAGATCACTGCTTTCAAGAAAAATGTAGGGATTTGTTTCTGTAGAAAAGAAAATATTCAAGATGTTTTGTCTTGACTTGAACCTTCTGTTCATCTGGACTGTGTCTTTCATTCCAGTGGTAATTCTGCAAATTCAGTAGCAAATATTGTTGCCCACAGCTTAAAATTAAATTGCTTCAATCAATTTTTGATTCAGAAGTACTGGGTAATGGAGCTAAGAACCCATACATTTAAAATACTTCCTAAATTCTGTCAGAAAACAGTATTTTGGGATTCATTTTCTAGGATTTTCTACAGTGTTCTTTCCTTATTGAACACACAACTAGGTTGGTAGTAGGAAGATCCCAGCAAGGCTTTTGTTGCCTTTTTCTAATAAAACAGATCTTGCTATGTCTATGCCGGACCTGATCACCTGTCTGGAGCAAAACAAAGAGCCCTGGAATGTGAAGAGACAGGAGACAGTAGCCAAACACCCAGGTAGGTGGGAGTGAGTGAAGCAGATGCACAGGTGAGAGGTGGCAAAGTCAAGGAAGAAGCCAGGCCTTAAAATTGTTTTGGAGACCGGGCACGGTGGCTCACACCTGTAATCCTAGCACTTTGGGAGGCCGAGGTGAGAGGATTACCTGAGCCCACAGGTTCGAGACCAACCTGGGCAACTTGGCGGGACCTCATCTCTACAATGAGAAAAAAAAATAGCTGGATATGGTGGCATGCCTATAGTTGCAGCTACTTGGAAGGCTGAAGCAGGATTGCCTGAGTCCAGCAGGTCGAGACTGTGGTGGCCGTGAGTGTGCCACTGCACTCAAGCCTGGGTGACACAGTGAGACTACAACTCAAAAAAAGACTGTTTTGGGCAACTCTGCTCCAATGGAAGTGGTTTCTGAGAAGCCTGGGTTTGTCTTGCTTTGACACAGGGGCATCTTCTGTCCTATGCTCTAAAACACTCTAAGGACTCTACTTCCCCTTCAGTGATCTTCCTTCAAGGTTACAGTGAGAGCCAAAGTCCTCTTTAGGGTTTGTAAGAAACTGCATTATTTGACTGCTTGTCTATTGCTTTTAGGACTATATGTACTTTTTTTTTTTTCCCTAAGTTGGAGTCTCACTCCCTTGCCCAGGTTGGAATGCAGTGGTGTGCTCACAGCCACCCCACCGTCAACCTGCTGGGCTCCAGCGATCCTTCTGCCTTAGCCTTCCAGGTAGCCAGAACTACAGGCATGGGCTACCACAACAAGTTAATTTTTGAATTATTGTAGAGATGAGGTCTCGCCATGTTGCCCAGACTGGTTGCGAATCCGTAGGCTCAAGCAATCCTCTTGCCTTGGCCTCTGGAAGTGCTGGGATTACAGGCTTGAGCCACAACACTCAGCCTCTGCACTTTTTCGAGAAACTCTTTCTAAGCTGTTTTTAAAATTTCTCTTTTGCATTATGACTGCAATGTGTCAGAGTAGTAGTGATGGTGGGATTAGGTTCAGAAATGCCAGGAACACTAGGGATAGATATATGTATTCTGTTTATGATTTCGTATCCTATGCAGGTTTCAGATTAGGTTCTATAGAAATTCATACTGAGTAATTTTATCAGAACACTAAGCATCTTACCTAGGTGTATTTCACTTAAAAATTTTATTCTTGTTATAAACTGAGATTGGTGTTTTCAACTGTGTATGCTCAAATTCCTCAATTGTATCTGTAGTTTAATGTGTCCACTCATTTCCCAGGTTTCTTAAATATAGTGTGTGAAGGTTTACTTCTGTGTTATTTATTGTTTCATGAGTTGACTTGTCTGCCTTGATGTCAGTATGCAACTGCTTTGATTACTGTAGCGTTGTGATGTATTTTTAGTGTAGGTGTGATGCCTCCAATATTCCTTTTTTTTTTTTTAAAGATTGCTGGACTCTTCGTGGTTCCTTGAGATTTTATACGTTTTTTGAGTCGCTTTTTCTATCTCTGCCAAAGTAAAATCGAGGATTTGAAAGTGATTGATTGTATTGAAACTCTAAATTTCTTTTGGGCAGTATGGCCATTTTCACAATATTAAGTCTTCCAATTCTTGAAGAAGAGCACGCTCAAGAGTGCTGTTTAGTATTCACATATTTGTGAATTTTTTAGAGTTTTTTTCCTGCTATTGATTTCTAGTTTTTAATTTGGTCATACATGATGATCTGTAAAGTTTGTATTTTTAAAAATTTGTTAAGACTTGTTTTGTGGCCTAATAAGTAGTCTATCCAGGGGAATATTTTATGAGCTATTGTGTAATCTGTTGTCTTATGATTTGTTCTCTATACATTTTTTAGCTACAGTTATTTTATGGCGCTTTCAAGTCCTCTGTTCCCTATGTACTTCTTGACTCAATTCTGCAGTGTTTGCTTTGTATTTGAGAACCTTGATGTGGGGAAAGTGTGTGTATATACATATACACATTCACACACACATACATTTGTCATAAGTTTGCAATGAATATTTTATAATACAACAATTTTTGACTTAAAATGTGTTTTGCTTGATATAATTGTTACTTATCATGGTCTTATTTTGTTAACATTTGTGTGGAATGTCTTTTCCATCCTACTATTTCAGTCTTTTGTTCATTAAAGTGAGTCTCTTGTGAACAGAATACAGTTGGATCTTATTTGGTTTTTTGTTTAATTTTCAAAATTTTTAAAATTTCTTTATTAAATGTGTCTTGATTGCTAAGGTTAGTACACAAATATTTATATAATTTTCTGAGCATGAAGGGCTTACTATTGCCACTTTATTGTTTTATTTGATTTTTGTAGTTTTTTTGTTCTTTTTTCTCTGTTTCTGTCTTTTTTGTCTCATTGATTATTGTATTTACATGCTGACTCCTTCTTTTATTTTATTTCGGTAACTCTGCAGGGTTTTTTTTTTGTGTGTGGTTACTGTGGAAATTATATAAGCCTCTTAAGGTTACAGCAATTTGTGCTAAACTAGTCGCAACTTCAGTTGCATAGAAACATTCTTTGTCAGTATGTCTGCCCTCAAGTTTATGTTATTGATTTACTAACTATTTTTATATTAGGTATCCATTAACAATTGTATATGTTTATCTTTCTACTTTTGTCTTTCAAATTTTTGAGCATGATTTAAAGTGTTTTCTGCACCCTCATTATAAAACTACATAATTTTTTGTATGTGCATGTCTTTTCAAAATTATTATATATTTTCATATTATGTTTTCTAGTATTGTTTTATTTTCAATGGAAGAAGCTTCCTTTAGCATTTCTTGTCAGGAGGGTCTACTGGTGATATGCTTTTTCAGCATTTGGTTACCTTGGAAAGGCTTTTTGTTTTGTTTTGTTGTCATTTTGAAGAACAGTTTTCTTGGTTATAGTATTCTTGCTTGAAAGTTTTTCTCTTTCTGCATTTTAACTCTTATCAGCCAACTCCCTCTGGGCTGCTCTGTTGATAAACCCACTGGTGTTCTCATAAGAGCATGCTTACATATGACACATTTCTTTATTCTTGCTGCTCTCAAGGTTCTCTTTTAGTCTGTGACTTTTGAGACTTTGTTTATAATATGTTTTGTTATGAATCTCTTTGTTTTTATCCTAGTTGAAATTTGTTAAGCTTCTTACGTTGAAAAATTACTCAGTTGTTATTATTGTGTTTTTCAACTCTTAGTTGCTCTTTTTAGTATTTTTGTTGATATTCTTATTTACCTGGTTTCATTTAGTGTTTGTGTTTTCATTTCACTTATTAAAGGTAATTTCTTTTTTTAGAGTTGATATCTGGATGTTTATTTTATCTCATTTTTTTGGGTCATGTTACCCATATTTTGTATATGTTGCAGTCTTTCATTAAGATTTAGGCATGTTTAAAAAACCACCTGTCACAATCTTTATAAAGTAGTTTTTTCTTGGGGAGACTTAATGCCAACTAACTAGGCCTGAGATTCTGGAAGGCTATCTAACATCGTCTGAGGATGTGTATTCTCTGGAATTGTGTGTTTATTTTTTCAATTAAAGAGGTTTGCCCATGTTGTTTCTTAATAGACTGTAGTAACGTGCTGCACCTCTTTTTGTTTGTGGTACTGCTTTCTGCTGCTATATCAGTCTTGGACTCAGCAGACCCAATTTGTCATTCGGAGTTTACCACCATTCCTCTTAGCACTCTATGTCATGAGAGAAAAACCAGTCTTTGGAAAGGCCACTGAAGCCAGAAGTATGGACACATGAACCACTATTTTTGTTCTCTTTTGAGGGCAAAGCCAGGAGTTAGGAGTTTACTCCTAAAGGCACCATGCTGGAGAGGAAGAAGGGCTCTGGTGGGTTAATGTAACAAACTTTTCTTCCCTTTCTGTGTGGCTGTTGGCATTGTATTAAGCTTGGGTGCTACAAACTCTTAACTGGTTTGTAGAGTTCTTGCAAAGGCATTGTGGTCAGTATAATTTTGTTAAGTTTATACATCTTTGAAATAATTAGGACCTGGGATATTTTATTATGCCATCTTGCTCCTGTGCTTTTTATACTTGTATACATTAGCTTTATAAAGTATATTCATCTAATGATCCTAAGTGGCATAACTTGTTATTTTCTTTTCTTTTAGCAGTGTCTTCTCCTTTCACCAAAGACCTTTTGCCAGAGCAGGGCATAAAAGACTCATTCCAAAAAGTGATACGGAGAAGATATGGCAACTGTGGCCTTGAGAATGTAAACTTAATGACAGACTGGGAAAGTGTAAGTGAGTGTAAGGGGCAGGAAGGATGTGATAATGGACTTAGCCAGTGTTTCTCAACTACCCATATACAAAGTTTTCAGTCTCATGAATATATAGAACTCCATAGTAAATTGTCAAATCTAAATAGACATGAAATAAGCAATATTGGAGAGGAAACTTTCAGATGCAAAAAATATGGCAAATTCTTTTACTTGTCTTCAGTTCTAACTCAACATCAGAGAATTCACTTGGGAGAGCATTCCTACAAACATGGAGAATGTGGCAAAGCCTTTAACCACTGCTCACAGTTTACTGATCATATGAAAATTCATTCTGGGGAGAAACTCTACCAATGCGAACAGTGTGGCAAAGTTTTTAAATACAGATCAAACTTTTCTAAACATGAGAGAAATCATACTATAGTAAGACGTCATACATGTGAAGAATGTGGCAAAACCTTTAAGTTCTCATACCTGACTGAACATAAGCAAATTCATACTGGAGACAAGCCTTACAAATGTGAAGAATGTGGCAAAGTTTTTAGCTTGATATCATATCTTACTAAACATAAGCAAATTCATACTGGAAAGAAACCTTACAAATGTGAAGCATGTGGCAAAGCTTTTAAATTGTTCTCATACCTTAATAATCATAAGCGAATTCATACTGGAGAGAAGCCCTACAAATGTGAAGAATGTGGCAGAGCTTTTAACCAGTGGTCAAACCTTTCTAAACATAAGCGAATTCATAATGGAGAGAAACACTACAAATGTGAAGAATGTGGCAGAGCTTTTAATCAGTGGTCACACCTTTCT